ATCTATATGGAATAAATCAATATTAAAGCTAATTAACCCTTTTCAAAAGCATTTTGTCCCAGGTTTTTATTTAATGGTTCAGTGCTGCTTAAAGCATGGATCAAGCTGGATAAGCTCCATTTAAAAAAATGGCCCATTTTTGAAAACAGTTTAGCAGCTCACTATGACGAATATATTTATCGGGATAAACTTGACTTTTTTCCAGCTGTATAAATAACGAACCAGGTTTCTTAAAAGATCTGATAATAAAATAGAGATTAAGGGCAACAGACAAATTTGTCCACTTAGCAGTATTATAACATTATAGTAACTGACCTAATTGATTGCTTTTAAAAATATTTATCCATCCATAGGCATATTTTCAATTTTTACTTATGAGGATATTCCTAAGGGAGAGGGAATCTCCATATGAGATATTCATTCTAGGTCAGATGTGAAATGTGAACCTATGATTTGTCCTTTTTGGAAGAAGCCATGATTTTTTAATACTGTTCAAACACATAGTGCAAAGCATACACCTTTGAGATATAAATGACTAATTTGACATATGAAACCCATTGAAAATTATATATATTATTTAAGGAACTCGACACTCTTCCCCTTTTGTTATACTAGCAAATCACAGAATATACTTTAATATCAAGCTATTTTTGAGTTATAAAATAGATGATCTATTTGTACACGAATTAAATTCCTCATGGTTCCAGAGGCATTCATTTGTGATGTTATGAAATTTTGATTAGCCTGCTGTGAAATCAGAATTGTTTACCACAAGTGTCTGGATTCTGACTCTTGCAGTCTTTCCAAACAAATAATGCAATGAACTGGAGTGGGGGGTGGGACAGGGTAATTTATGAAAACATGGTACACCATAATTTTGCCATTTTTTCTACAATAAGGAAGGCAAGTGATTCATGGGATAAAATGAAATATTTCTCACTGTCATTTCAATGGATCTAAGACTTACAGCTTCTTAACTTAGATAGGAAAGACTCTGTATGCATAAGAATGAATTGCAAACCAATTAATGAGGGAGATGAAAAACAAAACAATTGATTTTAATAGAGAAACTCTAACAAGCAACAAATTAGAAAGGAGAAGAAGCAACTATTTACTCTAAGACCTTTGAAGGAAGGAGGTTGTGAGAGGGAACTGCTCACTTAGCAGAGGGCATTAAGGTCAGGCTAAAGAAAAGTGATATGTTGATCCGATCTCATCACATTTAGATTGCTTAGGCAGATGCGGGAAGGTAGCTTTTAAAGCAAAATCAGATACACCTACATTGGATTTTTTTAACTCACAAAAAAGTTAGAACCAGTTTTACAGTATAAGTTTAAAACAAATAAAATTAAAAAAAATAAATCCTGTGACTATGAAAACACAGCCTCCAATTCAAGATTCTCCCTAACCCAAACTATTTTTTTTTATAAGTATCATGACCAAAAAGAAAAGAAAAAAAAAATGTTGACACCTCCTATCTCCTTGAGACACCACACTGAAGGAAAGCTAGCAGCCGCCACTGAAGAAGTGAACTTGAACTCTATGGGAGTCACTATACCTGGAAAATGAGAGCAGATACTCTGCTTAAGACACAAAAGAGCGGACTTGAATGGCTCAGAAGCTGGTGGAACCAGTTGTACCGTGTGCCAGGCCCTAGCATCCCCGGTGGGTACTCTGTGACTCGATCCTCCCGTCTCTTCCAGTGAAACGTGATATGCCATCTACGACTATAAGATACATACCTCAGCTTTCAGTTTCCAGCAACTCCAATGTGAATGCAGGTCACTAACAGGGCACTGGTGGTAGGGTGTGCTAAGCAATGCAATTTTATGCCAAATGTGACAAACAAAGATGGCCTTGATCATGTTGCTAAAGCAGTTTTGCTTAGATCACATGTAAATTTTACTATTCTGGGTCAAATATTTCACTAAATGCAAAGATAATTACTGCTTTTGGCAAAGGGCCCACAACCTTCTCTGTGCAGGATCTACAGGACTATCCTGGTGTCAGCATGGCTCACATATATCATGTTATGTGCATGTATTTCACAAGTTCGGTAGCTAATTAAAGGCCTAAAATACAAAGTGCAGGCACAAAAGGCTCATCAACTCCATCCCCTATACAGAAATCCTCTCATTAGAAGGATGCCGTATGAATTTAAAACTTCTGTTGTGCCTCCTTCATAAGTCACATGTCATCAGGTGGAATCTAACACTAATGATAATGTGGTGTTGACAAAGATTTGCAAATATCGATGTTAGTATCCATTTTCCTTTGATTATCAGAAATTGTATATACATTCCCAAAACTGAAGCAATCCACTTGGACAAATTTTAAGTTGACAAATTTTAAAGTGCTATAAAATTTGATAAGCTAGATCAATGAACAATGTTTCGAGCTGCTATATATTTTTTTCCAGGCACTGAACAAACAGTTCATTGTTACCAGTCGGGGGGTGGTGGGGTGGCAGGGGGAAGGGGGGCGTGGCTTTGGGTATTCTAGGCAATGCCAAAGAAACTTCAGAAGCTCACACATGCTTTGAGCACCAAAAACCAGGAGGCAGTGCATCTAAACCACAAATGGAGCGTATGGTATGCTCCACACACGTGTGTAAATTAAAACCTGTAAAATAACATGGGCATTGTAAAACTTGTGTTAAAACTGATAACAGCTTTACTGATTTACTGACAATGAAAATATATAGCATTTTTTCTGTCAGAGCATTTATCAACACTTGGCAACCCTGTACTAACTTGACATGTGAGATGATCAAAATGGATTATGTAATCTTTCCCATTCATTTCTATTGATTTTAGTTATGATAAAATTCATCAGTGTGCCTGGGAACCCTCAGGCTGAAAGGCTCTTGGAGACAAAAAAAAAAAAGTAAGGAAGGAAAAAAAAGAATTCAGCTGAGTTAGTTGTAATAGGATGAATGTAATTCTGGAATAGGATTGTACAAATCCAGAAGTCGTGCCCTAAAGGCTGCAGCAACAAATTAATACAAATAATCCTGGCAGTCTCAAAAAATTACATCTGTCTATGCAGAGATTTACTTTTGAGATCAAATTATGACGTTTCAAGCTAAAAGAATTAATGTGTAAGTGCCATTAAAAACATAGTTTGTAAACATATTTCCAAACTTTTTTTAAAAAAACTTCAACAGTAATCAAAGTTATTTCTCTGACTGCAAGTAACATCAAAATGCCAGCAAATGGACCATTTTAATCAGTTTTATTGATTCATGCTTTCAGTTCTTATTCCGTTAAAAACAAGGCACATTAAATACATCCTCTTATTGCTCTATAAATGCATGCAGCTCATTCCGTATATCAAAAGTAATAAATAATGGCGATAAAACACCAAGACAGTTATAAAAATGACAACCCAGCCTCAAACATAGTATTTAACAGTCCAATCTAGAACAATAACCCACCACGATACATAAAAGAGCCAAGAAAACATGCAGTGTATTTCTCTACTTCACTACTGGGCTTATAGTTGATCTTCTTTAAAAACACAGTAGGGCTTTTTTACTCCCTAAAAAGGGCTGACATAATGCAAAACAGTGCAAGTTATAGCGTCACTGACATCAGTATTATTACATTCATAGGCCAAAATACAAATACATAAAAAAGAGAATAAGATCAATGATTATTCTGACAGCAAGTTTAGTAAAAGTCAGAGTGAAATTTTCATTGTACAAAAGAGAAATCTACATAATTTGAAAAAGACAAAACGAGGCTAGAAAATAAAGCAGAATAGGGAGCATGCATTTAATTGTAGAAACCCTAAAGTTACACTCAGTATAAATTGGTTAAAAGCACGAATTTTGCAAACAGCATGATGGATATGAGGCAGGCAACCCTGGCTTAACAAATAATCCAGCACGATCACTCCCGTATGACTGTGGTCGAGCTGTTTAAAGGAACATCCAGGTCTCCACCACAGATGGGGTTTCCTTCACCTGAATCCCCTTAAAGGCTCTTGAAAGAAATCACTTGATTGATAAAAG